TATCTCCTCTATCCTCGTTTTTTGTCCGTTACAAACGATGATCTGCAAATAAAGGAGGGAGACGAATCTAAGAGGGAGAGAGAGCAAGTCACATTCTATATCAACAAGAAAAAAAAACACACTTCTGTTTCGCTGACTTCATCGCAAAGCGAACCAGGGCACCCGAGACGAGGCGGTTGTTTCCACGGCGAAAGTGCGGGGCCGCTGCCAACCGTTACATGTCCGTTTCAGACAATGAAACAATAAACGAGTGCAAGCAACCCGACCTCGAAAATAGCCTCGCCACCCCCATTGCTGGGCTACGCAGCTCTTTTGAAAAAAAAAGAGTTCGCATTATAGTATAGTGGTTCGGGTCAGTTTCCGCGCGTGAACCGCAAATATAGCGCTAGAGGGAATGAAACGCCGCCTCTCGTAGTTTGACTTTTCTTTTTTTCGTGCGTGACGACAGAACAGAAACAGTGAAATTGTTCGACTTTAATGAAGTCGCTATGTCCCGTAGCGTCGATGTGCAGGCTAAGCAATAATTAGTAGTAGACTAGAGTAGATTCTTTGATCTATGGGACAAACTCAAACTTGGCGATTGGCCAAGAACTGGAGAGATTTTATATTAAAATATTTAATAAAGGTTAAAATTGGTCTATTCAGAAGAAAGGAGGAAAGATGAAACAGGGAGAATTTATTATTGAAATAACACATTGTACTGGAATACAAGCAATGAAGCGGCAAATTCCAATTTAAGAAAAAAATAATTTAGGAAAGTAAAATACAGGAGCAAATATGGACTTCAACATTCAAATCGTCTGAAGCCTTGACGAAGTCCTGCTGTGCATCACCAATCTTCCCGTCACCATGGTCAGGAAATAAAGCCCCGAAAGAAAGTATACAGTTTGCACGTTTAAATACAACGAAGATGTAAAACGGCACCCATAAAGTATTTTTGCGCAAGGCACAGTATCTATAACAGTAAATGAGATAGTGCTTTATGAATCACATTCTCCAAAAGAATAACAATGAGGGGAATCACACGCACTCATTTGCAGTAAGTTGGTAGCTTTCACTTTTTCCTCACCAACTACGATTGACAGAACCTGTGTATTCAGCAATCAATCGTATCCTGCCGATTTCATCCTTGAAGAGGACAGCCCGTTTGGTCGAAACGTGAATCACAGCTACGCCGCATGCTCGCAAGGTTTAAAAGCAAACCTTTCAAGGCACCCTTTCCAGCGTGTAGTGGTGTCACCGTTGGCGCTGTCGGCGTAACCTTTATAGCGAACGAGGACGAAAGAGAGTAAATATGGAGTCTGTCCATATCGCGAACCACTGTCTGCATTTGCTCTCTTTCGTCCTCGTTCACTATATCGGTTACACACCGAGCCGTGCTCCCAAATAGGTCTGCAGAAGTTGTGTCTTTCCCTTTCCTCACCTATATCTCTCTCCCTAACCTCGCTGTCTTTCGTCCTGCGCGCTGGTCCCTCGCTCCGAGCTCCTGCGCACGCAGAGCTGGCACGTGCACTGCGGCTGGCTTCACTTGTCGTAACAGGGCTGTCGACGTTTCGGGTTCGTTCGCAACGCCTGCAGTGCACAGAGTGGTGTGCATAGCCAACGGCGTAGCGCTCTAGCGCTATAAATGTTTCGGGGGCAATGTGCGGCGAATGTTACATTGCTACAAATGGGGATGGCTAGTAATTCAAACACAGTTTGGCGTTACTCCAATGCGAAGCAGCGCTCAGAATTTTCATTAGCCAGTATCACAATCGTAAGTGAATTTTCATCTTCTGACACTTACATCTTCTCCTGGGCTTTGTCGTTTTTTTTTTGGATTCCCGGGATTTGTACCGCACAATAGACTATATGATCACTAATACCAGCAGAAGCATAAACTTAACTCGCATTTATCAAGAAATTTTTATTTTGATAAAAACATTATGGGTTGTTCCCCAAGGTAACCATGAGGGATGCGAAGCATTAGCGTGCGCACGGCGTTGGCATGGTTGAAACGGGCGTCGACGCGGGTGGCCGGAAAAACAGTTTGAAGCGAAACTCAGTGTGGCATTTACACGAGTAAACTTTACTTTGAAACGCAAGACACAGGACGTGGGTAGGGGTTTCGTATGAGTTTCATCGCAGATAAACGATCCGAGAGGGTGTTTCCACTCGACATGTGGCCGAGCGTTGCAGGCGGTGGAGAGAGTGAAGCGAGAGAGAGTGTGTTGCGAGCGAAAGGAGAAGCAACATCACCTAGGTGTGCTTTGAGGAGCCGGCTGATGCCGCGCTGAGATAGAGAGTGACGTCAACGCGCAGCTGCGTCTTCACCTACTTGGCATCGTTCCAACAACTGCGACGAGGGGAACGCGGGTGCGGCGCATTGGCACGGAGACCACGGACATACAGCGTTACACGGGCCAGTATAAGAGCTGCTTCTCATATAAAACGTCCGTTGGCTCAACCGCTTTTGTTGCCGTACGCAGGGGCACGTAATGTTACGTGAATATAGGTGGTGAATTTTCCAAGCAATGGTTTGTTTCAACGGCAGCGTGTTATTGATCTTTTGACATCCTCTTGAAACTATTTCGTGATAGAAAACGTTCTAAGCTAAAAGGCGCGCTGCATTTCGCTTTCTATGACAACGTGAACCTAAAAGGCGGGAGGTCCAACCCTTCATTGAGCGGCGTGCATTATTTATTACCGCTGTGTGACGTCCAATTTTTCTGTCCTACAATGCATAGCTACGTGTGAACAACGCGAGTTCCAGATGCCGCATATAACATAGCGCCCATTTATTACGGAGGCACGAACTCCGCCGTTCGACAGCCAGACGTTCTCCGAATCGCGTGTGATAGCTGTGCTGCGAAAGTCATGACGTCACCATGATTAGCGTTCCCAGTGCGCTTGGCTCTTTTCCTTTTGTTTCTTTTTCTTTTCTCACCAACGATTTTCCGGAGTGACCTTGTGCCCATGTGGCGCCATTCGTAACGCTGCATGCCTCTTCGACGAGCTACGCAGTGCCCGTGGGCACAAGTAAAGCAAGAGGTCGAGGGAGAGAGAAAGAGAGGGAGAGAGAAAATACGTGGAGAAGGGGAGGGGGAAGTCCGATCTAGAAAAGTCTGCGCGTACAAAACGCCGCGCTGGCTTGCGCCCTGCCTCGGTTCCACGCCGGCTCTGCACTGTATATACGCATGCGAAGGGAACTGGAAAGTTGCGAAAACGGCGTTGTTTAATAAGCGGTGCGTCGCTGTGAATGTTTTAACTGCCCGGCCAGGCATGGCCGGTCCATGGCCGTAGCTGTCTCGACCGCGCCCCCTTATTCCACCCCACTTCGTAAATGCGCGTGGGTGTTTGGTAGAGAGCTTGATACGACGGCAGAGAGAAAGTAGGTTGCATAGAGAACGACGACCTGGAGCTGCCCCGACCGCCCACTAATTAAAATCGGCCGACCAGTGAAAGTTGTACGCGGTGGGCGTAGATAGAACTGCTATAGGAAAGAAAGGGGGCATGGTTGTATACAAAGGCGAGCTAGAAAGGTGTCGTAAGCAGCACTATTGCGATGATGAGAACGTCGATTTGCTCATTATCTCGAGCTTTTATCTTTAAATTATAATGTCGGCCTCAACGGCCGGAACATTCACGGCTGATTCTGGGGACCCAGGAGTGAAAGATTCTGGACTAATTTGCGCTAAAAGGGTTTGCCTCGCTTGAGCTCGTAATTAAATGCAAGGTGTATCTATTGTTTTTTGTTTTGCATTTTAAAGCGAACCTGAAGGTTCATGCTAAGTGGTATTATGCCAGAGTTACTTGGCATTGTCTTTTTTTTCGTATTTGCCAAATTATGTGATAAGTTTATTTCGTCGTACGACGCGAACACACACACACACACACACGCACACACACACACACACATATATATATATATATATATATATATATATATATAATATATATATATATATATATAGATATATATATATATATATATATATATATAATATATATATATATATATATATATATTGTAAAGAAAGTTTTGGAGATCGAACCTATGACCTTCGATTAAGCAGTCAAGCGCCTTAACCTAAAGAAAAGACAGAGAAAGAAAGAGAGAAATAAATAAATAAACGTAAAGTGACCGTCACTCAAGTGCACGCCGAGCTCTGCTTGTACTCCATGTTCCCGGTGTGACAAGGGCTCCCTCCCCTTCTCTCTCTCTCTCTCTCTCTCTCTCTCTCTCTCTTTCTCTCTCTCTCTCCTCATCTCCTCCTCATCTCCTCTCTTTCTCTCCTTTTTTTTTATGATACTTCAGCTGTGTAAGTCTAGATGAACAGTGGGTTCTCCTTTCATTCTTCTCTTTTCGTCCTCTCCTCCCATGCCACTTGATCTCTCTTTCGTATTTTATGTGTTTCACAAGTGTACTTCAGAACGAGTCAACAAGACTAATATTTCGACTGGGTGGACTTCAAACTCGAAGCACGCAATTTCGGTTGCCTCTGTTCGCTGTAATGACCTAACTACGGCAATTTTCGGTTGTGTTTGTATTCTTATATTTCATTTTTCTTCTTTCTTTCATATTTACATGTTTAGCAATATTTTATGCAGAGTTGTAGGAACAGCTGTTTCGAAAATTACTGAACTGGGTTTCGGTTTAAATTGGAGTGAAATGAATGCAAGTGTCAAAAAATAAATAAATAAAGGTAGTTTCTCCGGTGTAGCTCACACCCCAGAGTTTGCGTGTGCCGCAAAGTTTAAGGATCTGCTATTATTAGTGTTAGTTATCGCTATTGTTAATGTAGAGCGTTGTCCTCTACAAATGCACCGCGAGCGTCAAATAAAGTCGCAC